AGCAATCATCACCCAGATAAGCAGAGATTAACACCAAGATTACCATCAGACATACAATCAGGCAGTAAACAATAATCTAATCAAGGAACTACCAGAGGGGAAAAAATAAAACAAAACCCCCACCCCCACCAACACTGACAGAGCAAGCCACTGTATATAAACAGAAACCCCATTCCATTCTAGCACTGAAGATGTGACCTAGCTGGGTAACAAAATGTTTGCAAGAAAAGAACCAAGCTCAGAGAACCCCAAGGACTCCACAGTATTCTGTTTAGCACTGAAGATGTGACCTAGCTGGGTAACAAAATGTTTGCAAGAAAAGAACCAAGCTCAGAGAACCCCAAGGACTCCACAGTATTCTGTTTCTATCTGATAAATCAACGATCAGAAGGATGGAGAAGGATAATTGTCTGTCTTCTTTCTCAGGAGATGCTGCAAAATTGTTGCAGCCAGCGCTCTCTGCTTTGGCTTACGTTGTTGAATTCTGATTAAGACAGTTGCAAACTTATTACCTTCTCATGTGGGTTCCCTTCAGTGAAATCAAGGGGACCCACGTATCATTGTGCAAAAAGCAATTTATCTGCTGTTTAGGGGTTTGGAAGATGCTGCTGTTCTATTATTTGCGTGTGAGTTTATTGTTTCATTCTCTGTAAGGAGACTGCTGTTATAAATGCTTACCTGAGAACAAGTCACATTAAGTCTAGTGAGACTCTAAGCAATTTATTCAAGTCATAATCAACAGGCTTACAGGGGAAAGGTGTATGTAACTTATATCCTTGTTTATTTTGGAAGTCTCCTCATTCTCCTCCTCTTCTAACTCTCTCTGCTTTATCTTTGTCCCAACCAAAACTGAAATGAAGTCTTTAAGCCTTCCCCAAAACTGGTCTGTGAAAAGGTTGTCTACTCCAGTATAAATATGATAAAGCAAGCATAAAGAAACTATTATTTTACTGCTTTGTTTGACAAGGTCTATACAAGAATATCTGTTTAGGACTTGGGTGGCAGAATTCATGCTGGGCAAAGAGACAAATGGGACTACCACATTGTGTTGCACCTACTTCTATAAAAGGTATATTGGAATGACATGTCTATTTCTGATCCACCAATGCTGGTAGGCTTCAATCTGTTCACCTTTGCTCTAATTTGAATTCTTTCAAAGGTCAGGAGGGATGAATTGAGCAGGTCAGCATTTTAGAAGCATCATCAGGTCATTGTGCCCTCTCAAGCCATCTCCTCTTCGAACTGGGAAGAGTTGCACCAGGACCGTGTGACATCTGTGCCATTAAAAGTAGATGATCGTGTTCTTTGGGACTGTCTGTGCTGTAACGACAATAGACAATATCTGTACTTGCAAGATAATCTGAAATAGGTTTTGGAGTCTCTTCATTACGAATCATTTTTCACAACAAGAAACTTTGTTAAGGGTCAATAATGAGGAGGTCAAGTATGCAGGAAATCAAATATGCAAATGATATTAAAAACGATTGTAAAGAGAATCTCTTTAAACAGGTTGAATGGTCAATCAAGTGGCAAATGCAGTTTGATTTACATAAGTGTAAAGTGATGTGCATTAGAAGAAAAAGCTTCAGTGTATTCTGATGAGTTCAGAGCTGTCTTTCTAACCAGGAAAAAGATCTGGAGGTGGTCATGGATGGCTCAATAAAGATGTTGACTTAGGATGGAGCAGCTGTGGACAAAAACACAGGATAATTAGGAAAAGAGATTGAAAATAAAATTGCCAACTTTGTAATGCACTTACAGAAATCTATATCCACATCTGGACTATGGTGTACAGTTCTAGTTACCACATTTATTAATCTGCAATAGAACTGGAAAAATTGCCAAAGAGTACAATCAAAACTATTACGGACTCTTAACAGTTTCCTTATGAGAAAAATCTAGAATGTTTAGGGTTGTTTAGCCTGGAAAAAAGGCAACTGAGGGGAACATGATCCAGATGTGTAAAAGTATGCCTGACATGGAGAAAGAAATGTTTTTCTCCCTCTCTCCAAACAGAGGGATCAGAGGTCTTCCAATAAAGGAGATTTAGAACAGACAATAGAAAGCATTTTTCTTACATGGCACTGCCAAGGAGGAGGAGGAGGAGAAGGAGAAGGAGAAGGAGAAGGAGAAGGAGAAGGAGAAGGAGAAGGAGAAGGAGAAGGAGAAGGAGAAGGTTGCTCGTCCAGTCAGCCAGATGTTTAGACTGGATTTGGCATTTTTATCCACCTATTAAGTCCTTCCCAA